TTCCAACCACCAAGTTTGGGATTTCTTTTGTTGTTTGGTTCTGTTTGGTTTGGTTTGGTTGAGACAGAGTCTCATGTAGCCTAGGCTGGCCTTGAGATTGCTATGCAAGATGATCCTGAATGAGGATGGATCCTCCTGCCTCAACCTCCCAAGTGCTGGAAACACAGGAGTATACCACCATACCTAACTAGATGTGTTGATCGGTTTGTTTTGTTTGTTTTTTGTTATGTTGATGTTGTTGACACAAGTTCTTAAATATCCCAGACTGACCTTGAACTCATTACACAGACAACGATAACTTTGAACTCCTGATCTTCCTGCCTCCACCTCCAAAGTGCTGGGATTACAGATGCGAGCCTGCTCCTGGTTCATGTGGTGCCAGGGATCGAACCCAGGGCTTTGTGCATACTTGGCAAGCCTTCTACCATGGAGCTGCAGCCCCAACCCCAGAAAAATTGATCTTAGGACATTGAATTTTCTGCCAGGCAGGAGTGGTGGTGCACATCTTTAATCCTAGCACTCAGGATGCAGAGGCAGGTGGATCTCTATGAGATTAAGGCCAGCCTGGTCTACATAGGAATCTCAGGCTAGCCATGGCTACGGGGAGACCCTGTCTCAAAAAGACAAAAAATATCATTCGGAACCACTTTCACCCATTTGCAGACGTTCCTAAATATTGTCCCTGAATGATGGTGGCCTATCCAGGAGAGCAGCCAGCTGGTCATTAGCCCAGGTCCCATGGAGAGGCTTCCTGTGAGGTTCCTACCTTAAGCAAGGGTCAATCTCACAAGAATTTTGCATCTTCTGCAAAAAGTCTATTGTCCCTTTTGATCCTGGGGATGCCTCTTAACACCACATGTCAGGAGAAAGTAGCCATTGATCAAAAGAACTTGGGTGCCCTTTGCCACACAAATACCAGAGAAATCCATCTGGTTCCTCATTTTGTTTTCACTTCCAGCAAGCCGTTGGCCAAATGTGACGCTCAAGTGTAGTAACAAGTGCCTGACACTCAGTCTCTCTCTCTCCCTCTCTCTCTCATGCTTTAGTGTTCTCGCTCTCTCTCTCTTGCTTTAGTGTTCTCTCTCTCTCTCTCTCTCTCTCTCACCTTTCTTCTGTGACCTTTCTCTCAGACACTATCTTTAACTGCCCTCTGGCACATGTGGTCTTGTTTTAAACTACTTCGAATTCCCTTTGGAAACAGAAGAGGCGCACAGACATAAATAAAGTGACTTAAGGAAAGCAACACAACCAAGTGTGGTGGTACACCTGTAACTTCAGCTCTTGGAAGGCAGGCAGGAGGATCGGAAGTTCAAGATTATCTTTGGCTTACATAGCGAATTCTAGCCCAGCCTGGGCTATTTGAGACCCCTTCTTGGAGGAGGAGGAAGAGGAGGAGGAGAAGGAGAGGAGGAAGAAGAGGAGGAGGAGGAAGAAGAGGAGGAGGAGAAAGAGGAGGAAGAGGAGGAGGAAGAGGAAGAGGAGAGAGCTATTTGAGACCCCTTCTTGGAGGAGGAGGAAGAGGAGGAGGAGAAGGAGAGGAGGAAGAAGAGGAGGAGGAGGAAGAAGAGGAGGAGGAGAAAGAGGAGGAAGAGGAGGAGGAAGAGGAGGGGAGGAGGAGGAGGAGGAGGAGGAGGAAGAGGAAGAGGAGGAAATGCAGACCACAGGCACAGTTGACACAATGGTTTTGATCAGAACCAGTATTTGTTAACTTTTTCATTATTCATCATTATTGTATGTATATGTACTTGATGCATGTGTATGAGTGCAGGCACACACACACAGTGGTGCATGTGTGGCAGTCAGAGGACAACTTTTGGGAGTCAGTTCTCTCCTTCCACATTTACATAGGTTCCAGGGATCCAAGTCATGTCATCAGGCTTACAAAGCCCACTGAACCATCTTGCTGGTCCAGATTCCTTAACTTTTAATTAATTTTTTTTTCATAAATGCTCAAGATGAGAGAAATCACAGTGAAAACTTTGAACAATGGGGCCAGAAAGATGGCTCAGCTAGTAAAGGTGTCTGCCACCAAACCTGAAAACCTGAGTTCAATTCCTGGGACCCACAGTGAAAGGAAAGAACTGATTCCTGCAAATTTTTCTCTGACCCCCTCCCCCATACACTACCATGGCATGTACAGGTAGACACACATGTGCACACATACACACAAATAATAATTTCTTTTTAATTTGAACAGTAGACATATCTAAGGAAGATCCTGGATTTAAGGAAAAATAATCAACAATGCTTATAAGTTGACCACCTCAGAACTATCTTTGGTGGCCCAGATTTAAAGAAAAACAACAGTAACAAAAAAAATCTCTTGATAATCAAGCACGATTGGCACATGCCTGCTAGCACTCAGGAGGCAGAAGCAAGAGGACCTCTGACAGTTTAAGACCAGCCTGGTCTATATAGTAAGCTCCAGGCTGGCCAGAGACACTAAAAAACTAAAAGTAAAAATAAAGTTAAAAAGTCTTGGTATCAGCCGGGCGTGGTGGTGCACGCCTGTAGTCCCAGCACTCGGGAGGCAGAGGCAGGCAGATCTCTGTGAGTTCAAGGCCAACCTGGTCTACATAGTGAGTTCCAGGACAGCTAGGGCTACAGGGAGACCCTGTCTCAAAAAGACCAAAAAAAAGAAAAGTTTTAATATCATTGTCAATAGATTCTTTTTATTTTTTTTATTTTATGTGTGTGAGTGTTTTGCCTGCATGTATGTAAATGTACCACATGTGTGCAATGCTCAGTGGTCAGAAGAAAGCATTGGATCCCCTGGAACTGGAGTTATGGATGATTGTCAGCTGCCATGTGGGTGCTGGGAACTGAACCCATGTGAACCCACATCCTCTGCAAGAGCAGCCAGTGCTCTTAATGCTGAGCCATCACTCCAGCCCCACCAATAGGTTCTTTTTTGGGGGGGTGAGACAGGGTCTCCCTATAGCCCCAGCTGTCCTGGAACTCACTGTGTAGACCAGGCTGGCCTTGAACTCACAGAAATCTGCCTGCCTCTGCCTCCCAAGTGCTGGGATTAAAGGTGTGCACCACCACGCCCAGCTTCCAAGAGGTTCTTAATGCAACTAAAACCACCAGATGAGAGCAGCTTTCCAAGCCAGAGTTTAGCTGCATCTGAAGCACTGAACCCCGAGGGCATTGCTGGACACGTCCCTACTTAGTCAGCACTGGTCCCAAGACAGGACTGTTGGTGATGTTAGGAGAGGAAAGGATGCAAGTTCTTCATCCTGAAAAGGGAGAAAGGACACGAAAGCAAAGGTTTGACCCTGTCTCGGGAAGTGAACTGGGTGGACATGCATGCTCTTACTCCCATCTCTGGCATAGTCTCTCTAGGAAGTGCTTCTTAAACCTCACCAGATGTGAGATGCAAATTGATAAAGCCACTGTTCATAACCAACAAAGGGTGCACTTTAACCCAGGAGGAAATTAAAGCCCAGTTTCATTTGGGAGGTGGGGGCTGAGGAACCATAGTCAGGGGAAGTCCAAAGTCAACACCATGGAGAATTTCATGTTCAACTTGCTCTAATACTGATTCCCTTCCGTGCCAGTCAGAGCCCAACAGTGGCTGGGACCCATGAGCCTGACCCCAAGAGGCCCTGGGTGTCTTTCTGCCTTGTGTCTTGGGAGTCTAGATAAAGTTTGCCTCTCCTAAGCCTTCCAATGACCTTCAGGGCTTATCTTTGGAAAACCAACACTGTCTATCTTGAAAGCAAGGCCTGTACCTATTCGTCTATCCATTCTTTCTCCACCAACAGCCTCGTGGGCACGGCCTCGGGGTTCATGGATAGGTCTTTTCTGTGGCTTATGATTTTTTAAAAAATATTTCATTTGTTTCCAGGCTAATTCTCGCCCCTGTTTCCTCCCAGTACAGACCTCCCATGGGAGAGTGACCTTTGTCCTGTTTCCTAAAATCTACTTCTCTCTTGCTGTCACAGCTTTGTTCCAGGCCCAACTGTGAACTAGTCCCAAGACTCACCCCAGGCATCCTGGTCTTGCTTTATTCTATGAATGGTCTTTGGGGATTAGAACTCATGGGAGATCCATGAACCATGAGCATCATGTTAGGTCTGGTTTCTGAGGAGCAGACACTAAAAGGAAATTAATTGTGCAAGGATGTTATGAAGGAAAATACCTATAAGACACATGAGGAAGGAGCCAGGGAGGCAAGAGAAGCAGCAGACTGTGGCACGGGTCAGATTCCCACAGGAACTGATCTTCAAGCTGAAGCCAGCTGTTGGGAATGTAGTGTCCCCCAGAAACAGGCCAGATGTGGTGTCCCTGCCATGCTCCGCCTTTGCCTGGGAATTCCACGTGGTTTCAGTGCAGACAGCCACTGGGCTTCAGAACAGAGTAGCAGGGATCCCAGGTGAGCCATGAGGGTGGAGGTCCACGAGGCACATTCTCATCCTTACCTCAGACATTCATGAACTTGGGTTGGAATAGGTATCATCTGCACCTTTATGCCTTTTTCAGTGACTTCAATAGAAAATCAAAAGGGATGTGGGAGTAAGGGGGTGGGGGATGTACACATGAACATGAATATGGTAGGGGAGTCCATGCCACAGCGCACACATGGATGTCAGAGGACAACTTGCTGTTCTCTCTTTCCACTCTGTAGATCCCAGGGATTGAACTCTGGTCATCAGACTTGGCAGCAGGTATCACCTGCTGAGTCCTCTTGTCAGCCCTGTCTCTGTTTTATATTAGTATCTGTGTTTGTGTCTGGATGTCTGTGTATGTGTGTCTATGTCTGCATATCTCTGTGTACTATAATGGTATGTGTGTGTTATATTTGTGTACTATGTATATGTGTCTGAGTGTGGATGTCTCTGTGTGTGTATGTGTGTACACGTGTATGTGTGCGTATATGTGTGTGTGTGTGTGTGTGTGCTGTATGTTCAGAAAAAAATCATCTCTTGCAGTCACAAACACATCTCAGAGTCCTAATCCCTTGGAGCCCTCACCCTGACTCTGTTGCTGCCTTTCAGACCATCCTGGTAGGCGACAGTGGCGTTGGAAAGACATCTCTGCTGGTTCAGTTTGACCAGGGCAAGTTCATCCCAGGCTCCTTCTCAGCCACTGTGGGCATCGGATTCACAGTAAGCACTTGCTGGCACTGCCAGCTGTGGGGCCCCTGTGTGTATGTCAGGGAGCCAGCTGGAAACAGGTGGGCACTGATGTGGGACCATTAGAGGAAACTGAATAAGAAGACTATTTCCCAAGGTGCAGGTAAGATGCTGGTGACCAGGAGGAGTGAGGGCATATCTTTAGGTGATGTAGAGACTCCATTCCACCTTGAGACTAAACACAAACAAAACTTGGCAACAAAGAGGGATGCCGGGCAAGCCATCAGCAGGAACTGTGTGGCCTTTACTGGAGGGACACGGGAGCCATGGGAAGCCCCCAGGATGTGGTCATGGGAACAATTCTCCCTATCCCATTGGCTTTTCTCCTGCTCTCTGTGTCCTCGAGGACTCCCATGGATAGAAGCAGAAAGTAAAGGTTATCTGGGTATAGATGCTGAGGTCAGCCCCCTGGCCATGAAAAATCTGGAAGGTCAAAGAAACAAACTGGCAGCACAGCACATGTAAATTTAGCATGGCCACGTGAGACTGAAGTCTGGGGTGGTTTTTAGTCCTCAGTCTCTCCCTAGGCACAGCGCCCATGGAGGGCAGCTCTGACTAGGAAGTGTGGTCAAGCCCCTCTCCCCACAGCCCTCTGCAGCCCAGAAGGCCTGTTGCACCATGCATCCTCACCTCACTGACTCCCCATGCCTGCAGATGCTCTCCAAGCCCCTTTGAATTCCAGGACCTTCAAGTGGTTTTGCTCTTTTTTCATACTGTTGGGTCTCCAGAACCCCAGTGTCCCAGAGACTGGGAAGAGCAGATGTCATTTCTTAGTGTGGGTATTGGAGAGCCTCTGGGGCAAATCAGAGCACAGGGCGTATCTTAGGTCACACCTGAGGCTGGACACATCATGCCACTGTTGGGGAAAAAGAGGAAGAAACCCAGAAATGGGCTTTTCCCATGGTTAGAGTGAGGAAGGAAGGATCCAGGTGGATTTGGCTGGACATGGCTACAGGGGACTGTCCAGGAGGTGAGTGAGAAGGGAAAGCTGGCCAACCTATGTACCAGGAACTAGAATCTGCCCTGAAACAGCAGCATCCAAGGGCTTCCAAGCTTGGGACCTGGGAGAGAAGGTTGATCAAGTTAGGGCTGAGTTCCAGGAGGCCATGGCTGCCCTGGCAATCCCTAAAATTGGACTAGGCTGTCTGAAAGTGAATTGAATGCTCTTGTGCCAGGGGTCACCTGCTCCAGTTAATGCCAGTCTTTCCTCACAGCCAGACCCACATCTCTTCATCCATCCTTGTACCTGTCTAGGAGAGCAGAGAGGAGGTGAATATGGATGTGGGTCTGCAAATTCTGATGCAGGGCTGGAGAGATGGTTCAGTGGTTAAGTGTACTTGTTGCTCTTCCAGAGGACCCAAGTTTAGTTCCCAACACCCACATCAAGTAGCCAACAAGTGCCTATAACTCCAGGTCCAGGGAATCCAATGCCCTCCTCTGACTTCTGAGGGCACTGACATGCATAGACACATAAATAAAAATACAATAAAATCTTTTTTTTTCTTTTTGGTCTTTTTGAGACAGGGTCTCCCTGTAGCCCTAGATGGCCTGGAACTTGCTATGCAGAGCAGGCTGGCCTCAAACTCACAGAACTCTGCCTGCCTCTGCCTCCCAAGTGCTGGAATTAAAGGTGAATACCACCATGCTGGGCTATAAAATAAAATCATTTAAAAACAAATTCTGCTCAATCCCAGCACTTGGGAGGCAGAAGCAGGCAGATCTCTGTGAGTTCCAGGCTATCTTGGTCTACATATTGAGTTCCAGGCCATCTGGGGCTACCAGCTGGAGACCCTGTCTCGAAAAGACCAAACAAACAAACAAGCAAATGCTGATGCATACAAGCCACAGGGGTGAGATCTCTGAATTTTGCTATTAGCTTATCAAGAAAAGTAAGGCAAGTCTGCCATGAGAAAAAAAAAAAGGGTATTTAGTCAGACTGAGAAGCTCAAGCAGCCCCAGCCAGGACAAGGAGGGTCTCCTGCTGACCTTGGGATGGGTCTTCTAGACCCAGGTCCGAAGGCTATAATTAGCCCAGGTCAGCATCCCAACGGTTGGCAGCTTTTACTGAATAAAGCCTGAACCTGGGAAAACTTGGGTTAAGGGCATGACCTTGGACCACAAGCAAGTACAACCATGCTCCACAGCTGGACCTCAGCCCCAAGAAAATGCCCACCAGTGATGGCAAGCAGGACAACCACACGTGACAGCAACCACACTGAGGAAGAATGGCCAGGCCCACCCAGCCACAGCTCTGATTGCATCAATGTCTGTTCCTCTGTCTTCCTTCTTACATCTCTGCCCAGTGCTAGGGACCCCTCACTCCTTTCCGGTCCATCTTCCTGCCCCAAAATAACTGGATCTTCACACAGTAGCCCCCCACATCCTGCTGGGCGAGGATGCTGAAGGACATTGGGCATCCTTCAGCTATCACTGGTCCCAAGAGAGAAAGCCTCTAAGATCCTTGCTTATTCACCTGTCATTCACAGAGAGATTTTTTTTTTTAATTTTTGAGTATTTCATGCAGAACATCTTAATCATCTTTATACCACCCCCGCTTCCAGATTGGTCCCCTCCTATAGCTCCCCCACTGGAATTCATACATTCTGTCATTTGTTTTGTTTTTTGGTTTTTGGGTTTTGGGTGGGGGTTTTTGTTTTGTTTTGTTTTGTTTTGGCGGTGGGGGAGGTGGTTTTGGTCTTTTTGAAGCAAGGTCTCTCTGTAGCCCCAGCTGTCGTGGAACTCACTATGTAGACCAGGCTGGCCTTGAACTCACAGAGATCCGCCTGCCTCTGCCTCCCAAGTGCTGGGACTACAGGTGTGCACCACCATGCCCAGCTCATTCTGTCATTTGTATTAAGGCCTATCATGTCAAGTTAGTGTCCCCAGGCATCCCTCAATGCAAGCTCATCCACTGAGGTCTAGTCAGCCGTCCATCTAGAGTTTCTCTCTTTAAGATCAGCTCTTCCTCACCCAGCAGTAATCAGCTATCAATAATTCTTCGACTAAGATTGGGCCCTGCTGTTCATTTCCACAGTTCTATGATGGATTTTTGTCTGCTTGAGTTTCTATGAATCTTGTGCATGCCAACACCATTGCTGTAGTTTCATATGAGAAGGGTCCCAGGAGCTTGTAGGACTCTAGTTACATATGGTCATGCACCTCCTCTGTGGCTCTTACAATCTTTCTGCCCCCTCTTCTAAAATGGTTCCTGATCCCTGGGTGGGTGGATTTTAGTATAGAGTCCTGTCCAAGGACCCACACTCTGTACTTATTCTCTATGATTTGACCATTTGTGGCCTTTTGTGTTCCTGGCCCTCTGTTGCATGGGGAGCTTCGTATGAGAATTTAAAGACGCATTGGTGTTCTCTTCATCCCTTGTTCTATGTTCCACGAGCCTTACGTATAGAGGTTGCATCATAGATGTGCTACTTAGGTTTGGGCAATTCACAGACAGTCTCTGTGTGTGACCAGTTGTGGAACTCTGTAATAATCTCTGTCTGTTGAAAAAGAAGATTCTTTGATGGATGGTGACTGGGATACTTGTCTATAAATTTAAGGGTCCATATTTTACACAAAGTAAGAAATTACATTTGTCTAGGGACATGACAGTCTTGGGGTTTTCTCTAAGAACTATGACCTCTCCAGTTATGTGTATTTGGCTAGGTTTACTGTACCACACATGAGTTGCCTTCCATTGAGTGGGTTTTAAGTCACAGAGAGATTTTTTAAATAGTACAAGGGGCAATTTGCAAGTGCCCTGGGCCTGGGCCTGGGCCTAGCTGTTGCTTGGACTCCTGAGTGATATTAACTGAAGTAGAAGGGGCCACCAAGCTCCCAATGACCCTGATCAGGAGGCTGGGTGAAGCCTCAGCATCAGGGGAGGGAAAGGATGCAGAAGGAGCTTAGATGACTACTTGAGACTTGTCACAAAGGACATTTTAGGTCCGTTACCTGCTTGCTATGAAGCCAAAGCTCTCAAAGCCTGGCATTCCCCACATCCCCCATCACCAGCTCTGTCACATTGGCCACAGAGTCCTGTCGATAGGTTCCCTGAACAAATAGAATTCACATATGGATTAGTCAGACTTTTCACCTTCTCTACTATCCTGGTTCAAAACCCTTGGTTTGGTTTTAACCATGCTAATCTTTCAGAAACCATGCCTTCCTTGGCCCCAATTTCACACTGCAAGTTTTTTAAAACTGCTCATTTTTTTGCTCCTACTTCTCACTATAAACCTGGCTATAAACTTATAGCCACAGCCTGAATACTGAACTTTCTCCACTAAATTAATTAGTCCCCTACTTTTAAACTCAGTCCCCACGAAGTCTGAGGACACAGGCAAAACACAGACAAGTACTTTGTCAGAATATAACGTGAGTGCCCTTTGGTCCATTCCCCAATAGAATCCTTGCTCCCATCTGAAACCTCATGAACACCTTTATTATTCATATTTATATCAGTGTTTTGGTCTACGCTTTCACTGTAAGCTCAGTTTACATCACTCTAGGCCTTTGCTAGCCCACATGTCCAATTCCTCCTACAAACCAGTTCCAAAGTCTAAGAACCTCATGGTCAGGTTTACTCACAGCAACATCCCCACTCCTGGCACCAATTTTCTGTATGAGATTTTTCATTACTGTGACAAAATACCTGTTATAAACAACTTGAAGACAGATTTATTTGGACTCACATTTTCAGAAGTTCAGTCGTAGTTCTTGGTTCTATTGATTCTGGGCTTTGGATAAGGCAGAGCATCATGACATCAGAATCATATGGTGGAGGCTGCTCACCTCATAGCAGACAGGAAGTAGTGAGAGGAAGAGATCTGGGAGTGAGTACAACTTTTAAAAATATTTTACTTGCTATTCTCTTTACTTTTTATGTGTAGGAGTGCCTGCATGTGCATCTATGTTGTGCAATGTCGGCAGAGGTCAGAAGAGGGCATCAGACCCCTGAAACTGGAGTTAGGATG